GCCAAAAATGACATGAGTGGAGTCAACTCTGGAAATCAAATCTGCACCTTCCTCCAGTTCCGTCAGTTCCCTTCCTCCAGCTCCCTGCCTCTAGTTCCCTCCCTCCAGTCCCCTGTCTCCAGTTCCCTGCTTCCAGTTCCCTTCCTCCAGTTTCCCTGCCTCCAGTTCCCTTCCTCCAGTTAAAGGTTTGATTGAACTTTTTTGAACTCTTCTAGGTGTGTTTGAACCTTTTTTTCTATCCCTTGTAGGTTTTCTTGAACTTGTTTTGAACCCTTCTAGGTTTGCTTGAACATGGTTTAACCCTTCTAGGTTTGCTTGAACTGCTTTGGAGTCCTTCTAGGTTTGCTTGAACTATGTTTAAACCTTTCTAGGTTTGCTTGAATCTGTTTGAACCCTTCTAGGCTTGCTTGAACTTTTTTGGAACCCTTCCAGGTTTGCTTGAACTTTTTCTTAACCTTGCTAGGTTTGCTTGAACTGTTTTGAACCCGTCTAGATTTGCTCGAACATATTTTTAAGCCCTTCTAGGTTTGCTTGGGCCATCCCACCCTGCAAGCCTTTCTAAATGGTATCATGCATGTGTTTGGTTTGTTTGTTCCTTGCCAAAGGGTACATTTACACCTGGCATGAGTGATGCTCTCAAAAGGCTAGGGGCCACCACATGGTGAAGTACAACAACAACTACAACAACTACTACTAATACTACTACTACAACTACAACAACAACAACAACAACAACAACCTTCAACATGAGCTTGCCAAGGCAGGTGACATGAGCCTGCACAGGCATTTGACATGAGCCTGCGCCGGCAATTGACATGAGCCTGCCAAGGCAGTTGGCATGAGCCTGTACAGGCAGTTGACGTGAGCCTGCAAAGGCAGTTGACATGAGCCTACAAAGGGCATCCATAGCCTGCAAAGGCCACATGCGTTTACAACATGCAGAGCCTGCACAGAAGGCAACCCCACATTTTGCATTCCGATGAAGCCAGCGCAGGCTAGTATATACACAGACAGGGTGTGGCTTAAACACACAAGCAGCCTGCAAAGACTTGAAAAAGTAAGCTTGCATTGCCTGAACTATGCAGCTTGCGCAGACTTCCAGAAATTGTGCCTGCAAAGGCTCCAAACTTGAGCCTATATTGACTGAAACTGTTTGAGAATGTACAAAGATCCATGCGCCAGCCAAAAAAAGGCTTTTTCACATCACCCACGCCTTCACTTGTTGTGCTGGCTGCACACAGTCATGGCTCAGGCGCATGGATTTGTTAAAGTGTGTTCCTTCTTGTTAGGGGCAATGGCACTCCTTTGTGTTATCAAGACAGGACAAAGAAAAAACGTTTTTTCCTTTTTTACTACAAATAGCTAACTAGTTATTAACCTAGGTAAGTTGGATTTTTTTTACTAGCAAAGTTAGTTAACTAGTTATGTAAACCAGCTAACTTGAATGTAAGTTCTGTAGAAGTTAACATACTTAGATAAATTTTATGTAACTATGTTTAATGGATAGAGAGTTTATAGAGTTTATATCTAGTTATAGGGTCTTATAATGCTTTATACCTATTTTATAGTTAGCTTATAGGTAGCTTATATTTTTGATAACTGTCATAACTCATTACCAAGCCCACGGTCTATCTAAGCAGGGCAAAGGCGAACCCCAACGCCAAACGCGCGACAACAGGGATGTTCTGAGGTTCATGTACCAAACCATGGGGAAGGGCAAAGGTAAGGACTTCTCCCAATGGCTGACAGATTGGAAGAACGCGCTCCAGAACTCTAAAGGCTGCGACGCCAATGCCTTGGAGGGGGAGTGGGAACGACATGTGCGCAGCGGCCAGTACAGGTGGGTCAATGCGGTGGAAGGTGATTGGCAAGCTTCGTCTTCAGCGGCCTCCCAACCTGCATCACAGCCACAGGCCCCAGCTCCACAACCACAAGAGCAGGAGATGTGGTCGCAAACCCCATGGCAGGTGTTCACTCGGCCTCCTACTACAGGGCAGCCTCAAGCGTCGCAGACTGCGTCGCAGTCACAAGCTTGGCTGGAGCCTGAGCCTGAGCGCCAGTCGCATGCAACCGCACCATGGAAGCTCAAACAGGAGCTGAACCAAGCCCCGCAATCAAGCCCAGAACAGCATGGGCCAGAACAAGGGCCGCAGCTCCCTGATCCAGGCGCATTGCCAAAAGAAGAAGAACAAGCTTCAGAAGCAGCAGCAGTCGCAGAATCAAAAGAAGACTCGGATCCAACATCGGCCATGCCGACGGAGGGTGACATGCCGACGGAGGGTGACATGCCGACGGAGGGTGACA